AGGGTTCTGTATGATATAAGTAGCTTGACTTGAGATAAATTCTCTTGTTTAATGTACTCCTAGTGTAACTAGATTATGAGTAATGAGTATAGAAATATGCTAAACTAATCTTACATAAATTGAGTTTGTAAAAATTACTTGTTTGTGATTTCTTGAGATATATGATGAAATTGGGAATATTATGTGTTACATGATTTTATTGTCTTAAATGTGTTTGGTTAGATGCCTATGTGGATTAAATGTGTTATTTATTAGCATTAAAAATGTTAAAACATGTGTGAGTATTGAGAATAGTTAAAATCAATTCTAGCATGAATTAGATTTGTAGAAATTACTTATTTGTGATTTCTTGAGATATATGATGAAATTGAGTATATTATGTGTTATAAGATTTTTATTGTCATGAATGTGTTTGGTTAAATGCCTATGTGAATTGAATGTGTTATTAGCATTGATTTTGTTATAACATGCTTGAGAGTTGATGTTGGAATATACACATGATATATTGACATTGAGGTTAATAATGGTGGTTATATGCTTGTGATGTAATTTACCATGGAAAGAAAGGTTGTCGGATATTAAATTGTTCATATTGTGCACATGACATATTGAACATAGTTGAGAATTGCAATTGTATATTTACATTGCATATGTACGGGTAGCATCACATTCATGGGCATTTGACGTGCATGTGGGTGTGTGTACATGTTTTTGAATCAAACACTATTCTTGGTGTTTGAGGTGTAGACTAGGGAAGGTTGGACCTAGGTCTGGCTGAGTGGTGGCTGAGTGGTACGGTTGCATGAAAATTTTGTGTCGGGTATAGCAAGAAGGACTAGATACTCCCTCAGGTGCAAGANATGCTTCAAGAGATAGGTTTCTTTTCCTAATTAGGTTTATTTTCAACCTAGGGTTCCGTATGATATAAGTAGCTTGACTTGAGATAAATTCTCTTGTTTAATGTATTCCTAGTGTAATTAGATTATGAGTAATGGGNCACTACGATATAGGTTGAAAACCCAAATTTTTCTAGAACTCGGGTGAAGAAACAGGTTTCACCGTTGGATTCATCTCATGAAATCTAGTTATCTAGCCAATTTTCGTTGAATTCTAAGACAGTCAAATTTTTTGTGTTTTACGAGGCAATCTAGTGTTGCGTGAATGAAAAGTAATTTAAAGCTAGTTTAAATAAAAATATGTTGAACTTGAATCAGAACGAAATTTAATTGTTTCGGAACGAAACTGGACCAAAGAATAGAGGACGTGTGGCGCAACGAGGCGTNTTGCTTGTGATGTAAACATTTCATATGCATCTAGGTTGGGGAGTAGCCTCTTTAGGAGATACCTTATTGAACATGACTCACCATTTATGTAGACAATATTTTAAGTGCGGGACATGCACTGATGGACGGCTTTCACTCGGGCTCTCATTGATGAAGAAAAATTGANTTCTGATTTTCTCCCCATACCCATCAGATTTTCAAAATTAGAGAGGAAGAGAGAATTTTCCAACTTTTCTCTACAATTTATGGCTCTACGTTGGCTAGAATTCTTCGGGCTAAGAACCAAAGTTTATCTACACGACGAAAGATACCACTATGTACCAAAACTTGAAGGTTTTGACGAAGANTAAATTAGTTTTTGAACATGTAATATATGTAAAAGGACTATAATCGAACTCATATGTACTATGTTTAATGTAAAATTGCATATTGTTATATGAATATGGATAAATAGACCCGGTGTAGTCAAAGTTATATGGTTGCATATATTGTGTTTTGGGTAGAGCTCCCCGTACAAAAGAGAGTCTGCCCGAATTTTGTTAACCTTTGGATCCCGATAAATAGGGCATAATGGCGTGGTATCGAGTTACACAGTATCCATGGGCATTTTGCAGGTTGATAGGTGATCAACAANATGCTTCAAGAGATAGGTTTCTTTTCCTAATTAGGTTTATTTTCAACCTAGGGTTCTGTATGATATAAGTAGCTTGACTTGAGATAAATTCTCTTGTTTAATGTACTCCTAGTGTAACTAGATTATGAGTAATGAGNGATGATTGAAAGGTTGTTTGATCTTACTGTTGAAGCAAATATTGGATTGGTTTAACTAATCCTTTTGAGATTTTGTTTCCGATATGAATCCTTCTAGAGATATTGAAGAGGAAAAAATTGGAAAAATAATTGCTTCCAAGTTTTGTCCGTTTATATACTTTTTAATTTTTTAGTACAATATCAGGCGTTAATATTTAGTATTTAAGTAGTTGCCTATTTTCTATTCAAGTGTGCAAATCTGTTGTATTGTTCACTCAATTTTTTTTAACTTGCTTTGTGTNCAATATCAGGCGTTAATATTTAGTGTTTAAGTAGTTGCCTATTTTCTATTCAAGTGTGCAAATCTGTTGTATTGTTCACTCAATTTTTTTTAATTTGCTTTGTATGCTTCTTTTGTTGAATATATTTTTCTTGCACCTGCTATGGAATTCTGTTGTTTGTTCATATATTGTAAGGTGGACTGTGGTTATTTATGCATTGATGAAAAGTGAAAGTTAATTATGCTTAGATTTTGTCTATGAGGTTATGTTGGTGTTAGATTATTATTAGATTGTTTTGTAGGTTGATTACTAAGTAGATTGAACCACAAATATAATGACATGTGAAGATACATTCATTGTTGTTTCAGATCTCAACTGTATGAATTCCATGACACTAAACAATAGTTTTCTTCCACATTATGTTGTGCAGAGCACTTCCGTCATCCTTTAAGTTGAGTTTCTTCTCTTAGCTATATTGGTCTTCATTTCCTCATTGTTCCCCAATTAAAATTCTATATTTCCCTAGAAAATGCAATTAGAAATTGAAAATTATTATGACTTCTATTCTTACACACGATTCCATTCTAGGAAAAAAAATTAAAAGATCTATCTAATTATTTTGTAATTACATGATGCAAAGGTAAAAATAAATGAAAGTTAATTGATGCCTATTTAAAACCAGTACTCCACCTTTCAATTTTCTTGGATCATTTATCAAATTAGTATAATTCAATGCATGCTTGTCTTCATACATGACTATGGCTCTTACAACTTCCACCAGCGCTTTTATGTGGTTATGGAACCTTATTAATGCACTTTCTTATTAAAATGAGCAATGCAATTATGAAATGCACTTGATGGTTTATGTGGACTAAGAGCTGACAGGTCTTTTATTGGTACCTTATTCTCTCGTACATATATCTAAGTTTCTCAAGTAGATATCATAGGTCAATTGTGAGGGGAATTGTGAAAATAATGATTACTACTTATAATTAAGTCAACTTTTGCAGCATATACTATTGGTAACAAATTGTCAAATTACAACGTCCCAACTAAAAAATGCACCTTGCGAAATGTAACTTTATTTGTCCTACATATTTTTCTTTGACTAAATTAGTAAATAATGCAGGCTTCTTTTGTACAACATAATCTTATTAATGTTGAAGGAAAAAATAGAATAAAAGTTAAAACAACACATTAACTACATTGTGGTGCAGTGGTCTATCCATTGCAAGTTATATATCATTTTCTAATATTATTTTTGCAAAATTTTCAAATGCAACTTAATGAGCCCGGATTTGACTATGACTAGGTCATGCCTAATTAATTAAGTAAGTCCAAATTACCTACAAAGCAGGTCAAGTCCAGCTCATAAATTTGGTCCAGTCTAAAGTTCAAAGAATCCAAAATTCATGAGACCTAGAAGATCAGTGTACATAGGGAGTAATTAGTGGGATAACCACTCTTAGAGATCTACATTATCTCTAATTGTATCTATCCTAATTGTAGCTATCCTCCCTAAAAGGCTAGTAACCTACCCTTCATGCCATCACATGAGGGACACATCTCTACATTTCCACACAACTATCTCTCTCATAGCTACCTCATCACACTTGGAGCTTACTCTTGTTCTCTTTTCAACTACTTTATCAATAAAGTTATCCGGCCACCGTTGTCACACTTGGAGCTTACTCTTGTTCTCTTTTCAACTACTTTATCAATAAAGTTATCCGGCCACCGTTGTCGCGTTCAAAGTGGAGTAAGTCACCCTGACCGAACCACTCTATATCTGTGTTGCTTGTGTTGATCTCATCTATATATTTACTGTATTTAGTACCCATAGTAATTACTCGACTGGTGATACATAAACCTACTTTTGTGGATCATCACAAGTCATGTATTCATTGTAATCGTGTGTGCGTCAACTAGTGTCCTTAAACAACAAAAATCACATAAACCCATGTGAGAGAAACAAAAGTTAATAACAAAGTCCATGATCGGTATGCAAAAAGAGGAAAAGAGACTTGTTGCTAGAGAAGGAGAGAGAATTCTTATGTGCATTGAATTTAGAAGTGAATCACACCCATAAGAAAGAGCAGGAGAGATAATTTACCAACCATTAGAATCCAAGTTCTTTAATTTTTTTTTAAAAAATAGCACTTATTATGAGGTAATGACAGTGAGGAATAAACCAACACCATGCGTAGAAAATTACGACAAGGTAAACAACCAGTACGGAGCCTGATAAATGATGCGTTCACTGTTTAGCTCATTGTCTTCCAATCAATAAATATTTTTATTTTTGCAATAAAAATATTTAAAATAGAATTTGAAGAGTCTAACGCAAGTCAGTTATAACTACTGGTGAAAGATAATATTGGCATTAGATTAATAACTGAGGGAAAAATAGAAAATTAAATTTTTTTCGCCACAGTGTTAACATTTACAACAATGTTCTTATTGATATCATTCCTTTCTTTATTTAATTGGAAAAGGCATATAAGTTATTTATAATAAAAATCTTTCATTGGGATTTTGGTGTCATTTTTGAAATATGAAGAGTAGCAATTTATTTTATCCAACTACAGACGTATATTTGACCAAAAAAAACATATTTATAAAATCTAATTACTCTGTAACCAATATGCTATTTACTAAAATAGAAGGGAAACTCAGAGCAAAGAAAGCATTATAAAAAGGAAAAGAAAAAGAAAAAGAAAAAAGAAAACGGTTCTCATAAGGACTAGCCAACTGCGATACTAGCACTGACGCTGATACTACAATTACTTAACTAGAGTCATCCATTAGCTCCAGGACATTGATGAACTGCTAGAATAAAGATTTGACCTCATTGCATGTGAAATGTATTGGATTGTTTAGCTTGTGCAAGCATTTGGACAACTTCTCGCATGGTGGGTCGCTCCACGCTGTGCTCTTGAACACACAACATAGCAACAAAGAAGACCTGCGTTGCCTCGTGTATTGGAACATTTGAAAGTCGTTTGTCTAAGATCTTCACCACTCCTACTTTGCTCCAATTTGTTTCAATCTTCACCCATTGAACAATATCCAACCCTTCTTCCCCAAAATCCCGGACTGGCCTTCGGCCTGATACTAGCTCTAGAAGTACCACCCCAAAACTGTAAACATCGCTCTTCTCATCAACCTTCAAAGTATATGCATACTCTGTCATATGAGGGATTAATGTTAGACTCCTGCTAATTGTAAGTGTACGAGGAAGGAAATTTAATAGGCAAATCAACAAAAATGGATAAATATAGTACGGAGTTTTGCATAGTAGTTAAAAAGGGTAGTACTTAGTAGTTAATCTTTGTATTGTGTTGAATCCTATGCTTTTTTATCATTCTATATTGATTTCGTAACTTTTTATCTTAATATCTTACTTTCTAACTTTTTTCCCTAACTATCCAAATATTTTGTGAAATTGAGGTTTTTAAACCTACATTTCTTAATGTAAAAGCGTTTTTACAAAACACATTTACAATATTTAAAAAACAAAAAACTTAAAAAAAACAGGTTAAAAACACATTTTTGCATTGAGAAGAAAGAATTTAAACTACGGTTTTATTGAAACAAAGATAATTTGGGAAAAGAATTGGACAATAGAAGCTAAAAAGAAAATCACAAGAGTAATTAACAGTGGGTGTTATTTTTACAATTAAGCCACATTTCTTTAGAGACAAAAAGACCGAAAAGAAAAAAATCATCACCAAGTGAAAATAACAAACATGTGGAAATAAAGGGAAAGGTAGTTGTATGTATTGCGTACGCATGTTTCTCGTCTAGAGTTCTGAAAAATTAAAGATCCCATCCCACACAGGATCGCACATTTTTTATTTATCAATTTCCCTTTTTTATTGTCATGATTTTAGTTTTGAGTCAAAAAAGGTGTTTGCCATTGTTCTGAATGAACATGTCTTTGTGGTTTCCAAAAAAGTTCACCAGCCATTTGTAAAGATAAAGCAAGAAACAAGTGATAAAGCTAAAGCAGAATTTTTCTTTATGGTAGTGGCGCTCTTGCCCTTCTTGGACTCCACCTGACTTCTTTTACTACTTTGGTCCAAAGAACTGTATGTTTTACAAATCTACCAGTTTTATCGTCAGAATAAATAAGATAACCGAAATTTAAAATTGTTGTTTTAACCCATGACTCAGGTGACCAACTCATTATCACCAACCCAGAAAATAAAGGTTAAATTTTTTCCTGATCTAATACGGATTTGGCTTCATAAGCATTTGTGTTATGAGCCCAACCTTTGATCCAAAACCCCATGACTTGTGGGGGATACGTAACATTCTACCACGCTTAGAACTGACGTTTCTAGTAACCCTTTTTTTTTTGGCAACTCCACTCACTTGCCATTATTCAATGCAATTGCACTACGATCATATATAATACTAAGACATTTTAATTTAGCCTATAAGTCCCTCTTTCCATGACTCGATCTCGTGACATGATGCCTGCTTTGATATCAATTTTTATGAACCCAACCATTGATTCAAAAGTCTCAAGACTTGTGGTGGGTTAGAGCTCATAATTATTTAAACATAACAATTTGACTGGCTGAAGTTGATGATGTACAATTTTGAGTCATGAATTATTGCCCGAGTAATACTAGCTGACCAAAAAAAGGAGACATGATACATTAATCAAATGTGGTGGCATTACCACAATAGTATTATTGGTCTCAAATTTGAAATTTAAGTTTTTCCCATTATGGTAACGTCATTTCATTTGGTCTATATTTTTGGTCTACTAGTCTAGCATTTTTCTAGCCTATGTATATATCAACCACTGTGGACAACTAAGCAGAAAACAAAAAAGTACCTGGAGCAATATAGCCATAGGAGCCGGCAATCGCAGACATGCACTCTGAAGTTCCATTGTCCTGCAAGAACTTGGCAAGTCCAAAGTCTGCTATATGAGCCTCAAAATCAGAGCTGAGTAAGATGTTATTTGACTTCACATCCCTGTGGATTATCAAAGGGAAACAATCATGGTGCAAGTAACACAGGCCCTTTGCAGCTTCTATTGCTATTTTCAGTCTAGTGTCCCACTTGAGATACCCACCTCTCTTCCCATGAAGAACTTCACCTAGGCTCCCATTTGGCATGTACTCATAAACAAGCAAATTGGTCTCTTTGTTTGAACAAAACGCCAGCAACCGAACAATATACCTATGTCGGATCCTTCCCAATGTTTGGATTTCTGCAGAGAGACCATTATCATGAGAAGACCCTTCGCTTATTCCCAATTTCTTCACTGCAACTTGCTCGCCATTTGGCATTGCTCCTTGGTAAACAGTCCCAGCTCCGCCTCTCCCTATAATATTGGTATCCTTCAAGCATTCTACGATGTCTTCACTTCCAAATTCTACCTTTTGAAATGCAGTGAGCTTCCATGAATTCAAATTCTCTCTTACCTTTCGGGTCTTGATAATCGCCAATACAGCAAAGACAAGAGAACAAATTAGGAGTCCCAAAGCAAAGAAGAGCTGAAATTTTCTCGGGACCTTAGATTTTTTGTTATTCTGGCTGTTGCATCCTAATGGGGAGGTTGATGAGTAATTGCATGTATTTAAGTAGGACCCACATAGGCTAGGGTTGCCAACATAAGAAGTAGAGTCGAAGAATGAGTATTGTCCAGTTTCAGGTATCGAGCCAGTAAAGTTATTATGTGAGAAATCTGCCGATGTCAGGCTCTTCATATACCCAATCTCTTTGGGAAGGCTCTGGTTCAGGTGGTTCCAAGAGATGTTGAGGTAATTTAATATGTGAATTTTGGATATTTGGAATGGTATTGGGCCAGAGAGTTGATTCTGGCTCAGATCTAAATAAGTCAGGGAGAGACAATAGCAGATCTCGTAGGGGATTCTCCCAGTTAAGTTATTTCTACTCATATCTAACCTCAATATACTTTTTAAACGTCCAATATCAGGTGGGATATCTCCGGTAAATTGGTTTCCACTTAAGAGAAGAATCTTCAAACCTGAGAAATTTCCAATGGAAGTAGGAAGAGAGCCCGATAAGCGATTATTGGAGAGATTCAGCTGGCCAAGATTTGAAGGTACCTTGCTTTTCTCTTCTTCAAATAGTCCAGTGAGGTAATTGTTCTGTAGCTCCATCAGTGAGAGCTCAGGCAAGTAAAGGAAACCATTTGGAATTGGTCCACTCAAATAATTCTGCCCCATTCGAATTCTTAAGAGTGTTTTGCATTCACCCAGATCATCAGGCAAAGGTCCAAACAGAAAATTGTTCAGCAAAATCAAAATCTTCAATTTCCTTCCAGAGCAGAGATATTTGGGGACCAATCCAGTGAGTTTATTACTAGAAAGATCAACTTCGGTCAGCTTACCATTTTGTCCAAGCTTGGAAGGAATGGATCCCGTGAAATTGTTCTGCCAAAGATTCAGGATTTCCAATTTGGGTAGTTCTGCGATGAAATATGGAATCTCTCCATGCAGCTTGTTGATGAAGAGATTCAATAGGGTGAGCATTTGGAGGACCGAGAACTGAACTGGGATCTCTCCAGTGAGTTCATTGTTTGAAAGATCAAGAGATTTCAAACTAGTCCAGTTTCCTAGCTGCGGAGGAATCGGACCACTAAACTGATTTGTTTGCAAGAAAACTCTGTCCAATTTGTTCAGATTGCCCAATTCCAGTGGAATTCGACCGTCCAAGCCACAAGCTGAAAGGTCTAGGTGGACCAAATTTACAAGCTTACCAAATTCTGGTGGGATTCCACCGTCAAATTGATTATAATAACCCAAATAAAGCTGCTTTAGGTTAGTAAGATTACCAAGCTCACCAGGTATAAAACCACGTAAATCATTTCCAGCAATGGAGAGAAATTCGAGCTGCTCTATACCTCCATAGCTGGGCGGTATTTTCCCTGAAAAGTAGTTTCCACCAAGGTTCAAATGTTTCAGCTTTGGAAGTTGAGTAACACCCAGTGGAAGTGGGCCAGAGAAATCGTTGTTGTAAGCATCCAACACCACCAGATTCTTCAACCGAGAGAATTCCCAGTTAAAACTACCATTAAGCAGATTGTTGGATATGTTGAGGAACTGTAGGTTTGCCAACTTGTGAATTTCTGGCGGGAAAATTCCTACGAAACTGTTTCCAGCCACCGAGACATTACGAAGGGCTCCAAGCTCAGCGATTGAGGGTGAGAAAGAGCCAGAGAGATTAAAATTGGATATGTCCAGTGAGACTATCCATTTTTCGTTGGTGTCACATTTGATGCCAGTCCAAGAGCAGAGGGACATGTAGTTTGATACATTCCAGCTATCTAAAGAAGGATTGTAGGCTTCAAAATCTTGTTTGAAAGAAACCAGAATTGAAGCCTGCCTTCTAAGAGAGAGGTTATGTGAAGAAAGTGAATGGGAAGAAGTGAAAAAGACAAGGAGTAGAGAAGAGAGGAAGGCAAGATTCATATCAGCAGCCGCCATGGGAAGCTTTGTACTGAACCCAATAGACCAACACACTGAATATAAGGAACTAACCATTATTAAGATTTGCCATGGAGTTGAGGCAACTGAATACAAATAAAGAGAGCCTTGGATCCTGTTGATATGGAATCTTGCCTCTCTTTTTTTCATTTCATTTACTTTTTCTTTTACTGTATAGTGTATATTTTGGATTCATCATCTTTAACTTTATGAACAAAAGCAAAAGATTTGTTTTTACGTAAAGATGCATTGCCAACAGACCACAATTTAAAATTTCTTTACTTTTCATGCCAAATGGCATGAATGCCCCGAGGGTCCTTTCGCTATCCTTTAGTATATCTGTGCAGAAGCACTCCCAAGAAGATTTTACCTGAAGGAATTCAATGAAACCTCAAGGAATTAAGAGGGCTATGGGGGTGGTCTTTGTGCACTTCTTTACTCCTACCCCTTTTGTTGCATAAAAAAAAGAAAAAGAAAAAGGGGGCTTCATCTTTGTATACCATTGAGCGACTTAACTCAAATGAGTTTATAGAAAACCTTGCAAGGTTGAGCATCAATATGAATTATTTCTCTCTCACAAAATGGCAATGGTTCTCAGGATACAGCCGCTAAGGTTTCAAAACAATTTTGATATTGCTTGGTCACTTCAAAAAATTGCAACATGTCAAATCTCAGGTGAGCTTCACTACAAATATAGTACCTTAATGGGTTGAACCGAAATAATATCATCCACGAGTAGAAGTGTCAGTCTTAACTCATTATTCATTAACCCATTTAAGCCGCTCATAAATTAATGGGTTGGGTACCTACATTAGTTAATGTGGGTCTTAAATGAATTGGATAATATGACTCATTTTAATTAAACGGGTTAAGATGGATTATAAATGGGTACTTATTGGGTTGAATATTTATTTTTCTATTAAATAATTAAATTAATTGATAATTAGAAAAAAACACGTGCTCGAACTACCAAGCTCCTCAGCTCGAACTAGCTCCAACTTGCCAACTACTACCCAAACCCATAAGAAGTTTGACTAGTTCACCTCAAGTACTACCGCCACTTAGCCAGTAGGAAAAGGCCTAAACATGTAAGGCACAACTGCTTCAGTTCAAATAGGTGAGGGAGGATCCACTAACGACCTAAGTAAAAAGCCTAAAAGAGAGGAGTCCAAAAGGATGAGCCAGGTAAGTGAATCCAACACCAATACTAAATTTCTGAGCCACTTCAATTCTCCCTCTCTAACTTAACCATCAAAGGGTCAACCCCTGGAGCTTATCTGGTCTTCAAATTGTTGTAGTAGGTATCTACCAGTTAGTTAATGCATGAATCTAAGTGATTGAGATGTTTGGAGCTCGGTGAACTCTTTCTACCATCATTAGTTAGCACCGTTTGTGGGAAATAGGAGTTTTCCAATTCTAAAATCTATTTATGAGACTCTAGATCTTATGGCCATTACAAGGTCGAAGGATTTTGTTATGGATCCAATCCACGATAATGAATGCCCAATATCACATCCAATGGACCGGAGGAATATAGCACCTTTGGAAAAGGAAACAACGAGGTTTAAGAATCTAGAGATAGTCGTGGAGGAATTGGTTCGCTAAATGCCGCAAATTATTCAACTTCTTGCAAACCAACAACACTTGGAGATGGACTTGTCCCAAATCTTAGTACATAGAGATGATAATCGTGAAAATGAAGAATAAAGCCAAAACGAGGTTATTTTGCCATAGGTTAATGACCAATGGGAATGAAAGTTCTAAGAGGTTAATGGGAAACTGGGTAATGTCTTAAACACAGTAAAGGCTCGAGTCCCACAGGTCGTAGAACCTTTGATACAACACATGGAGTCGCCCTTCACCTAGGATGCGTCAAATTATCCTCTCCTATAGAGGTTAAAGATGCTAGTGATTAGAGCTTTGATGGGATGAAGGATCCCCTTGATCATTTGGAGACTTACAAGTTTCTAATGTTGCTCCACAGTATTCCATACTAGATTGTGTACAGGGCCTTTGCGATGACCCTTAAAGGTGTTGTAGAAAAACAGTGTGGTAAAACAATTCAAGTAGTAGAAAAGCAAAGAGAAAACCGAGGAAGTTAGGTCGCTAGGCAAGGCACGACACTCGTTATCTTCGAGATATTAGTTTTTCCACTTATAATGTAGATGGACTCTTGAAAATTCTACCCCCAGGATACAATGCCTAACTTTAAGATTATCAAAGACTGCACTCTTTTGTAATCTTGGACTCAAAACTCAACCCAAATAGAAAATCAAAAAATATAGAAGTTTTGAATCAAGAAGAAGAAGAAGGGTTAAATTCTTAGTCCTTTGTTCTTGCATTTGAACCCTATTTATAGTGTTCTATGCAACTCTTAATGAAGGAGTGTAACCCTTCAAAATTATGGTAGAAGACACCCATTGAAAGGGCTGCAATGATATGGTTGTTAGAGACTACTTTTGAATAGAAAACCTGTCACATTCGAACGAGGTTCTCACGTTCAAACGTCCTCAACTCTTAGTATTTCAATTATGAGATTTATGCCAAAGTACAGGGAGCAAGTCATGTTCGAACGTGGGTTGCGTTAGAACGTATTGACGTCCTAGTATCTCAGTTTCTATCAAAAACTGAGATTATGAAAAAGTATTGGGAGCGAAGCACGTTCGAAAGTAGGTTGCGTTCGAACGTTGCCTCTCTTGTTTTTGTCACAACTATTCTTTCTTCTTCTCCTTCTTCTTCTGCTTATATATATATATATATACCAAATTATAACTTGAAGTTCTCATTATGTAGGCCTCCTCTTTAAGAGGATTCCTTGAGACCTTGAGTGGAGAATGAACTTCTTTCTCTATTTATAGATAAAGATGAATCCATGAAGAACCTCCAAGAACCAATGTGAGATTCATGTCGTTACCCTCCAACTCATATACTCCAAATGTTTTGGAGGGAAGTGAAAAATTTCACTTTCCCACCAATCTCAATCTAGAAAGTACTATTGTACTTTATGTATACTATATATATATATATATGCTATTATATATACATGTATTTAATGTTTATGTCAATTCATGCAAATGATGTTTTGCTAATTAATATATCATTATTAGTAAATAGCTATATATATAACAAAAGGAGTTGCAAGATATTGGTTAAATAAGATATAACCCAGTTTTATTAGATCATTTGGAGAGCTTAGCACATTCATCATCTCGTACTTTATTGGGGTCCGAGCATACAAGAGGCCTCTGACTGACCTCTTGAACATAAAGCAGACCAAGAATGAGAAACTTAGAAGCTTTGTTCATAGATTCACTTCAAATTGACAGTGTGGATGATAAATTAGCCCTTAATGCTTTCATGGGATGTCTTCAACCATCCAAATTCTTTATCTCCCTTTCCAAACATCCACCCCGAGTATAACCGAACTGTTATCAAGAGCCCAAAGCCACATGAATGCTGAAGATACCCTTCGCGCTCGGTAGCACCAGCAGGCCAGGCATGAGGAGAGAAAAAGGTGTGACCAATCAGGAAGTGGGAAAGGGCAAGTAGTCCAATAAGAATCGAACCGAATGTGTAAGTGTGATTCGTTATCAAAAGTACCATTTTTTTATCTGTTATTTATGATGAATCACATTATTTCGAAGCATTATATGAATTATCCCTTGAAGTTATGTTTTGAGTTGATTCTTAGTGTTTGATCAATTTGTCAGGTAAAGTAGGTAAAATGAGCTAAATTGGTGTACTTGGAAGATTGACCAATTAATTAGAGATTAAAACGAACTCAAGGGGACCAAATCATGATTAAGAAGATTGATTCGGAGCTGATAATCCGAAATAAGGATGAAGTCTACATCAACTCTAGAGAGGTCCATTTGAATGTGTCTTGGCTGTTTGAATGCAATGATTGTCAAGCAATTTACTAAGTTGACTTGTTTAGGACATAAGAAATACGAAGAGAAGAAGTCCATTTGAACGCAGGATAACTGTTCGAACACAAGTTGGCCATGAAGAAAACCAGAGAGTTAAGACCGTTCAAACTCCGCTTGTCCGTTCGGATGCTCCTTTGATGATATGAACTCTCTCCGTTCGGATTGGATGCCTCTATGAAGTTGTGAATTCTAGTAGATTTAAGCTCTTCAGGCGCAACTTGTCCATTTGGACAATCATTGATGATACGCTTATCCTTCGTCTGAACTATCATCCTCTGTTCGAATGCGCGTTCTGACGTCCACTGCATACGTCTTGACCTAGTAGGAGTTTGATTGTAAAAGAAAATCCAAAAATACCGTGTGTATCCTCTCATTATAAATATTTAGAGGTGGGCTATTGTTCCCATCTTGGTCCTTAATTTTTTTTCCTAGCTTTTTTAGAAGAATACCCTTGTCTTGTGAATAGTTCTCTTTTTACTTTTTAGTTAGGGTAGGGTATTGCGATTGTACGTCTATATTATTGTTTATGAAATTATTTTTTATTATTAAATAATTTATCTTTTATTGTTTAAAGATTGAATGAATGATTTCTAGCAAAGTATTGTACTATGTATATGTATTTGATTACTTATGAACTTGATTGATTTCTTGGTATGAGTAATTTTTATAATTCCATGTGCGTTTATAAAACTAGATTTTAAATTCATATTTTCGTATTAATCGACTCTTGATTTTCAAAGTTATATATTTCGATTGGTTACACTAATGTTGAAAGTCAACTAAGACAAAATATAATTACATATATATAATATTTGATGTGCATAAACAATCCCTGATCCCGACACTAAAGAGTAATTTTTTCCAATAAGAAATTTCCTTTAAATTAAAACAATTCCATTTTTCAAATGATCACCATACTGTTCTTCTTTTTTTACCAATCTGTCGTCTATTCAATCCCTGAGGATCGGCCTCGGACTACCAAGTAATTACTACACTTGATCACTTGTACTTGGGTGCACCAATTCAGAATCAAGTAAAGAGCAAGAGATCGCTTGGGCCCCTACTCTCCAAACGAGCAGGCTCATAGGTACACACCATTGAACACCCTGGTCGAGCAGAT